AATCCGAAGATTTTAAAGGTTCAAACGGGTAGGGTTGGCCTAATATGTTATTGTTCCCGGTACTTTGTGGAAGCATATGGGACTATACAGTATTTTTCGGATTAAACGGCCATATTTTTTTCATGAATTTTTAGACGAACAGCCAAATGGCTCAAACATTATGCGTTTTTAAGCTAAATATACCTAGATTAAAGCTTTTTTCTTTAGTTATTTTGTTATTTCTGACGGTGGACTAATATTTTAAAATTTGACCCCGGTTTCAAGCAAATTATTATTATTTTTTAATTACAAACATGAGTTTTTATTGCAAATAATATAATAATTTGAAATATTTTGAGAGGCGCTCGAAAATTTTGTTATATAAACCCACTATTTTATTCAGTAAAGTTGATTGCGTTCTAGAATTTACCTAAAAAAGGCGTTAAAATCGCACGGTAAATAACAAATTAAATAACGAAAAAATAATAATGGCTTCCATAATTATTTTCCATCATGACATTTATTTTTATGAAATGTGAAATTGCATGAAGAGGTCGCTGCGAATAAAGTTCAACAGTTTAACGAAAGTTCCACATGTCGGTGGCTAACACTTGGCTGCCACGAACCCGCGACTAGGCAGTTTCGTAACGGATAAGTCGCATTCACCAGTAGGCTACTTTATAGTAACACATCATAGTAACTCTTTTTAGTGGCAAAAACTACCCAAGACACTACCCGGCTACTCAAAATCTTTCCCCATTTTGGTCGCAGTTACTTAGCCGCTACGAATATACGACGTAGCCGCCGATGGTAACCGCCCACTTTGTAGTGGCTTTGATAGTGGCAGTTACGTATCTGCCACTATAAATGCTAGTTGGGAGTGGAATTCAATTACCTCGGCAGTTTGATTTCGGAAAAGGCCAATATCGACTGAAATTTAGCACAGGATTAGCAGCGCCTCAAGGGCATTCTGACAATTAAAAGACAGGGTTTTCTACAATCCTGACTTGAGCACAAAAACGAAACTTGCATTGTACCGAGCAATAATAATGTCCACCATATTATATGGAAGCGAAACCTGGGTGCCATACCGCCGAAAATGAACTTAAAAATCAAATGGTTCCATCATGTCTTAAAGGTATCGGTCCTTGAGAGAGCTAACTGCGAGAGTATTGAAGTCATGATTACACAATCCTGCTTAAGATGGGCTGGTTGCGTATGCAGAATGCAAGAAAACCGCATACAAAAATATATGCTATACGGTGAGCTTGTAGACGGTAAGAAAAGGCCGGATGGACAACTCAAAAGGTACAAGGATATATTCCACGAAAACTTAAAGGGAATTAAAGGAACATGCAGAATGAGTGGGAAGAAGCAGTTCACAACACAACGCAATGGAGAATAATTGTGAACTCAGTTAACAGCGGGAACCAAAAAGTAGAGAAGCAATGAGATTTTTGAACGTCCGGAGTGAGGTAGATAGATAACATTACGTATCGGGCTTTTCAGTCATAGAAAATCTCATAAAAGAAAACGCCTTGCGTGACCATCTTCTGGTGCGTGTGAAATATTCGTCAGCGTGTAATGGCAGTATGTATGTATTATATAGAAAATAAAAAAAAACGTTTTTATTTACTTCCCTCGCCCAAATTCCTAAAAAACATTTACAGTTTATTTTCTCTTGCTTGGCCTTTTCTGTCTATTAGCAATTGTTTGATTCAACATTTTTCGTGCTGCTGGATTATCTTCTCGAACTAATCCTACTGATGACTATTTTCCCCGAACACCAAATTGCAAGTTTAAATTTTGTACGAGAAAACTTGGTTTAGACAAGAGAGGAGTGGCATTCAATCAGGTGAGTTAATTACGAGACGTGTAAGAGTGAATTGTAACGATTTAAGATTTTCTTCACCGTGTATTGCTCAATTATGGCATGGAGTGGCATACGTTTTGAAGCTGGATCGAGTTAGTCTTTATCCAGAATAGGGGACTGCGATTTATGGTTACTCTTGCAGAAGATACCACATGTCTGCATGATAATGCAGGGCTCCACACTGCTCCTACAACTTCCACTTACCTTGACGAGATTCAAATCACGCAGTTTGCTTGGTCAGCTTGAAGTCTAAAAGTCAATCCCATCAAAAAGGTTTAGAATAAATTAGCAGTAATGTACTGACATTTAGAAATTCTAGAGAGCTTTACGACATACTGTTGCAAGAATGGCCAATATTTCTCAGAATGCCTCGTTGTTTGCAAGCTGTTATCACTACCAGAAGAAGGAATACTCTACACTGAAATCTCCAAAATTTCTTTGCTTTCAAATAATGCATTTTCAATAAATTGAATAAAAATTTATTTTCATTTATCATTTTTAATAAATGTTGAACAGAGCAAGAAGAACTTTATTTTATTCAAGCAATAGTGGCAAAATAATCGCATTTCGAAATAAAATGTCTAAAATAAATGAAAATTACGCGGTCACCCGAATTTTATAATGGTTCTTTTCTAAATATTCTGAAATAATGTTAACATAACATAACCACTAGTTAAGACTGGAAAATAATATAAATATCACAAGGAAAATCATTCTAATAATTGATATATTGCTTCAATTGATAAGGACTTCAATATCAGTGTATCGTATGCACATATTTACATTGACAAATTATTTCGTAGTAAATGAATTTGAAAATTTCCATCAAAATATGTTGATATTTTGGACTTAACCTGCATGGTGCATTTTATTGAAAACAATAATTGTATGTTCAGATAAATAATATAAATAGACAAACATAACTGTACAAAACGGCCGAATCCAAGATGGAGGGTGTTTTCAACGATGTTCTCTATGAGTATCTCGGAATCTACTGGAGATAGAGAGGCGATTAAATGGGGAAAGGAATGCACTTTTGTGGGGTCATAAATATGCGCCTTTCAGATTTTTGAAAAAGTTCATGGCTTACTAGATATTTCGAAAAAAAAATTGCCTATTTTAAAAATTGTCCCTAATTCTATTATAATCTATTTTAAACAAAATGTTTTCAGATAAAAGTTGTAGATAATCACATCCCTAATGAGTTTGTGTCCTCCATTTTTTTCTAAAGCTTGTCATTTTTGACATATGACACAAACATATGTTTTTTTAAATGGAAGCCATAGTTGGCCATGACTTCATAAAAAGCGCCATTTTTAAAGCTTTTCAGCGATCTAAGCAATAATATGTTTTTTTTTGTAAAATTACTAGCCATGGAAACAAGTTCAATCGTCGTTGCTCTTAGAATGTGAAACTGTCACAACCAAACTTTGTAAATTAAAATGAATAAAAATTGTAAATATGAATTTTTCAAATGAAGAAAAGCGTGTAGGATTATTGATTCAATTTTTCTTGGCCATACATTTTCGAGAATACGTTGGCCGGTGAACGTAACTTGAAGACATGTTAGGAAAAGTCAAATTTAGATATACCCCCATAATGAAAGAAATGTTAAAAATTATTTATATCATAATTATACAAACTCTGGGATAGGATGAGGTGGACCAATTGCATTGGCCATTTTAGATTTTTTTATGCGGTATGGTTAACAAAAAGGTTTATAAAAGAACTTATGAATTAAGAGAAGCATTCGAAGCGGCGGTACGGGAAAAGTTTAATTAAGTTGACCGATCGTTCTGTGAGACTAGCTAGTAATTCAGTTTTAAAAATATACATTTATGTACCCAAAGCAATGGAGGATTTTTTGAACATTTTCTAAAATAACTTAAAGTGTATGTAGTGATATTATTTCTTTAAGTTTTAGTTTGTATAATGTAAATTGTAAAGAACTAAGTGAACATGTATTCAAAACCGTTCTCTATAAAACGTAAGTAACTTGTCAACGTATCCTCGAAAACGTATGGCCAAGAAAAGTTGAACCAATAACGCGTCTATTTACTTTTACAGGCTTTTCTTCATTTGAAAAACTCATATTTACAATTTTTGTTTACAAAGTTTGGATGTGACAGTTTCACATTTTTGATAGCAACGACGATTGAACATGTTTTCATGGCTAACTATGTGAAATTGTATAAAAATGATAAGGATTTGTTATAGGTAACAGTAATTTTTCGAAAAAAAAACATATTATAGCTTATATCGCTGAAAAACTTAAAATATGGCGCTTTTTATGAAGTCATGGCCAACTATGGTTTCCATTTAAAAGAAAACATATGTTTGTGTCACATGTCAAAAATGACAGGGGCTTCGGAGAACACAAACTCATTAGGGATGTGATTATCTACAACTTTTATCTGAAAACTGTTTGTCTAAAATAAATTATAATGGAATTAGGGACAATTTTTAAAATAGCTAAAATTTATTTATTTCGAAATATCTATTAATCCATGAACTTTTTCAAAAATCTGAAAGGCGCATATTTATGACCCCACAAAACTGCAATTCTTTCCCCATTGAACCGACTTTCTATCTCCAGTAGTTTCCGAGATACCCATACAGAACATCCTAGGAAACTCACCCTGTATATGACCCAGACATAAACAGAAAAATGCTAGGTTGCCACTTATTTATAAAAAAGGGTTTAATAACCGAAATCTTGTATAATATGATTATTATTTATGTACGATTTTACACAGATGGGGCTGGTGCCTCTATGCAAAAATCATTTTTTTTAATTTCTGAGGAATAAAAAACATCCTATCACTGGTTCACCATAAATGTCTAACGTACTCATGAATCACCCTGCATATTAATTCAAAACAAATCTACTAATCTTGGATAGGTACCTATTCTATGTTTTATACGTTTGTGGAAAAAACATTATCCATGTAAATGCACATCTCAACATACCATAATGCTACATTCAGCTGTCTTAAAATCCAATAAAAGTGATCTTATAAAATTACTTTTATGGCTATGGAGTTATAAAACAGTAGTTAAAATCTCTCTAATTTAGTAATAATATAGTAATTCATATTACGAAATTTAAAGTGTTTCGATTAATCCTTAATATGATTGAATCACTCACCATAATGACAACCATAACTTCTTCTTAACCGATTCTGCACCAGTACACTGAAACCGCTGAAATTGTGGTTGTTGAACATGTCTTCTTGTAATTTCAGTTTCTTTTGGAAGAACCCGTACAGCAAAAACATGACGATTATAAAAAATAGAAACAAAATATACGCCTCAGCCGTGGCGGACATCGCGAACTAAATTATCAAATAAAAGTAATAGTTTGAACCCACACACTATTAAAGATCGTCTAGCATCCATTAGACACAATTTAAAGGTATAGGAAATAATGCCAGTTGTAGAAGTTAAAAACACCGGTACGTACGTAATATAAGCACCGTACTGCCGTTCTCAATGTTCTTGTTTTAAACCTGATAACCTTATAATCATTATTTTCTTTAAGGGTTATTAACTTTCACTGATAGTGCACGGGAAAATATTTATACTAGATGCTGCACCTAAATTTTTACTAATTATAGGTATATTTAAAAAAAGAAGTGGTATGAGTTGAGTCTAGAAAGACAATATTCAAAATGCTAGAAAACAGTTTCAACGATGTTTGTTACACGTACTTTGAAATTATTATTATAACTATTAAATGAACAGAGCAATAGCAAAGTTTATAGTCAGTAGACTTTAGCAATAGTGATATAAATTATTATTAAAAATAGATATTTATCACTTGTATATGCATATAATGCATGCAATTTACGATGTGTTTTCAGTAATATGATATACTCAAGGCTGCCAGGTCATAAACAATTAAACGTACTTAAGGCCCGGTATTTATACCTTCCGGTAAAACTTAAGAAAATCCATTAATTTTAGATTAAACTAGCGTTCTTTTTAGTTAATTTTTTACATGCCAATAAGAAAGAGTATTGCAGAAGATATCAAAATCTACAACGAAAAACTCGTACAAAGTACAACCGAACAAAGAAAAAGCTACAAAAAAAAACTAAGAAATCCCTCATGATCGGAAAGAAGCAGCTAATCGCCTTAACACACAACAACATCAGAATAACAGACAAACACGAAATAATAAGCCTGGTAATAAAATTCTACATATCTTCATTCTCTATATAAAGAACCAGAAAACAAAAAGAAAGACTGCTTCTACCACAAGACGACGTCCCAGAACTTCTCGTGGGAGAAGTAGAAAAGCCTCTTCAAGATATGAAAAGTTTGAAAAGTAGCAGGAAATGACGGAATAACAGCTGAAATACTTGGAAAACTCTAGCAAATATATACACCAGGTTTTTAAGGAGAAAACATATACTGCAAGACAGAAATAGCGCCAACATAATTCTAATTCATAAAAAAAGGTAGCAAAGAAGACATCAGAAACTATAGACCAATAGTCTAAAACCCGTAACATACAAGGTATTTACAAAAATAATAAACAGCATAATACAAAACACGCTAGACGCTACACAACCACGAGAAGAAGCAGGCTTTAGAAGCGGTATCAGCATCATTTAGAAGCTACATGATCACAATCATACACTCTACCATAGCCTTTATAGACTTTGAGAAGGCTTTTGACTTGATATATCCTAACGCAATACTAGAAGCCAAAACAAGGTATTGACACACCTCATATAGAAACTCTCGCCAATATATGCAAAGGAGCCAAAGCAAGAATAATGGTATATAAAACAACCCTAGAGTTCCCAAATGGCAAAGGAGTGCAGCAGGGCAATATCCCCAAAACGGTTTACAGCAACACTAGAAGAAATCTTCCGTCAACTGGCCTGGACCAACAAAGGATTAAAAATAGATGGAGAATATCTTAACCATCTAAGTTCCGCTGATGACATGGTCCTAATTGCCAATAGTCCTGAAGAACTACAAGTACAAATTAATGAACCAAATACAGCCAGGGATAAAGTGGATCTCAAAAGGAATTTAGCAAAAACTAAAGTAATGTACAACGAACTAGTAAATACATCATACATAGTAAATACATCATACGTACAGTCATGATCTATGCATGCGAAACCTCGACGCTTAAAACGGATATTATAAGGAAACTGCACGTTGAACAATGCTCAATGGAACGAAATATGCTGGGAATAACCAAGAGAGACCGTAAAAGAATAGAGTGGATACGACAAAAGACCCAGGTAATAGATGTTATCCACAGAATCAAATTCCTGTGGAACGACAAACAACAGATGGACCACAAAAATTACACCATGGTTCCAGCACCATGGTTCCTAGCACCATGGTTCCTAGCAATTAGGAGACCTAGAGGAAAACCGAACCTGAGATGGGACCATGATGTTAGGAAATTAGCAGGGATAACTTGAGACCGAATAGCCAACAATAGACAACGACGGGCCCAACTACAAAGAGAGTATCTAAATATATGAGGGAGGCTACACCATAATAGGAATTGGTTGAATAAGCTGAGAATGATAATAATTACACGCCAGTTAAATATATATAATATATCTTTCTTTTCTTCTGATGCTCTTTTTTCTCTAGTTTAATTATATTATCAGTGGCGTATATGGTATTGTTTTTATGTTTCTTCTGTTAGAGTGTAAATCCTGTGAAAAGTTAAGATAATTCATCGAACACTTCAAATATTTCCTCTAGATCAATAAATCAAACCGGTAATCATTCAAGAGCCAAAAATTGTGCATACACCTGAATCTTCAAATTACATTTTTACCTGATCTTATCCACGAGTTGGAGTTTAAACCTAAGATAGCAAATAACCGCAACTCATAAAACCGACTCTTGTACAAAATCTCAAGATTAACTACTTCCTGAAGATTAACCCGAACCTATAAAACTGATCCTTAAACCAAATTTTATACCGTCCGGTAAACCTCAAGCGGCGCGGCGGCTATACGGTAGCGACTTGCCTGCACGATATACTTTGCGCAAAATAGAAGGAACTCTGTGTGGTGTCCACACGATGCAAGTAAGATCGTACATTCATCATTATTTTTATTGAGGATTTGTGGTTCCGTTCGTGGAAATGTCAAATGAGGAATTTTTGTTTATTGTTAAAGAAAAAAAAAACAGAAAAATAAACGGTATAGATTGAAATGGGGTAAAAACTGACTTTTAAATAGATATAAATATTCGCATCTAAATTTGATATAAGAGTTAAGAACTGATCCATAACGAAGACGCATATAGCCAGTTACTACATTTCGTTACGCCTAAAATTGAGCGGCAGGACACTGTAATCTGTAATGCGTGAATCTATCTCTCCCCATGAAAGATTGTCTGCTACTCTAAGATACAGGAAGATCATAAAGAGTCACAAAATTCTAGCTTGAACTCGCTGATACCGTATGCAATGACTGCAGAAACTGGCTTGCACAAACTAAAATCTTTAGCAGCGCGACGTTTACCCAAGCCGCGCTATTTGGTTTGTGCGTGCTACCGTTTCACCGTCTACAGTGTCTACATACAGTACACACAGTTCCTGATACAAACAGGTTTGTGCAGGTAAGTTCGTGGTAAAGCTTGTACTTGTAGCCCGCCCTTTAAGATTAATATAAATGTTAACCTTTAGTTTAAAGTGTGTATTAATTTGCATTTTTTTTTTCTTTTAATCCAATTTTATATTTTTCGTTTAACTAATGATAGGTTTAGGAGAGACTGATATTGATGTAAGTGTATTAATTATTGTTTTTTTAATTTACTTCACAAAATACGGAATAAATTATTCTTCTCTAATCTTACTTTTATTCATAAGAAAGGAATTTTACTATCGATGAACACCGAAGATTAAAATAATATAATAATTGAACTGGTAGAAATATTTTAGAGCTCATGATATGAAGTGAAAAAATGATGAGTTACAAAAATAAGGTTAGAAGCTGGTTTTAACTTATAGATCCTCTTTGATTAGCTAAACAATTAAAAAATAAAAAATAAAGAGATTCTTTTGATATACCAAATTCTTTCTGATGTCTGTTTAAATAAAAAAAAATGAATAAATCAAACTACAATGAATGAGTTGCACAAATGGAATAACTTGTGGATATGTACATAAACAAAGTGCAATTTTCAAAATTCAGAACTAACAGCGCAACCTGAAAAAACGCATCAGAGTGTAATTTAATATCAATTTTAACTTCAGACCAAAACTTATCCACCAGTTGGAATAGAATAAACTTTAAATTGCAGTAGTTAAACCGAATATATAAAATTGTAAATTGTAATATATTGTTGCGGGCCGGTGTGGACTCGACCTAACCTCACAATATGGCCCGCCCTCGGATGACCTTAACATCGCATAGACACCGCAATGATTCATTCGTTCGAGAAGAATCGAGTCCCAATGGAATGGACGAGTACATACGAGAACATTCGAAAACCTTCTCTACGCACCTAACGATCTATGGACAATTCTAGAGTTCTTTACCTGCCGGTATAAAAGCCGGCGGCCGTGGCCTACAGGGGGCAGTTATAAATATACAGTTGACGCGCTAAAATTCAAAATAAATTCTTAGTTATAAATCGTTTGTAAATAGTTCTATAAGTCGTTTATCGTTATTAGTTTTGTTAATTAGTGTTAAATAAATAGTGTTTAAATAAATTGTGACTTTCTATCCACACGGAACCGACGAAAAACGTAACAATTGGTGTCAGGTGTGGGGTGTGTGATAGACTAGAAAAATAAAAAGACTAACGATGGCTCCAAAAAAATTGAAAGACCTGAAAGTGTCGGAATTAAAAAGCATACTGGAAGAGAGGGAATGCGAGACAGATGGAAAGAAAAGCATTTTGCAAGCCAGACTGAGAGATGTTTTGATTGAGGAAGGTGAGGATCCTGACACATTTTGCTTTGAGTTGGAAGGTGACCTTGACTCGTGCCTACAAAAATTAGAAGACAATTTGAATGACAAAATTACAGAAAATTCCGGGAATTGCAAGACAATTTAAACGGCAATTTGAATAATTTAGAAGATAAAATGATGAAAAATTCCCAGGATTTAATTAATATTTTAGAAGATAAGATCGCAGAAAATTCTAAAGACATACAGGCCAGCTTTAATAATAAAATACTTAATTTAGAAGAAAAGATAACAGAAAATTCCAGGGAATTAGAAGAGAAGATAACAGATACACAAGACAAAATAACAGAGATTGAGGAAGATGTAAATAGAAAAATCGAAATTTTAAGAGAAGAAATAGCGAAATCAAATTCACCAAAATGTCAAGAAACATCGGAGGGGCCGAAACTAGTCGAAAATAAGTATATCTCAAAGTCAGTTATTAAGCCTCCACAGTTTGACGGAAAAACCGCTTGGGCTAATTATTTTTGCCAGTTTGAGGCCGCTGCGAGAGCGAACGGATGGACAATCGCTGAAAAGGCTACCGCTTTGACTGTCGCACTGCGAGGAGATGCGACTGACATTCTGCAGACATTGTCATCATCGGAACAGGGAGATTATCAGCAATTGGTACGACATTTAGAAATGAGGTACGGCCAAGCTCATTTGGAACATGTCTATCATTCCCAGCTAAAAAATCGCATTCAAAAGTCAAATGAGTCTCTGCAGGAGTTTGAAGCCGACGTAGCCCGCCTCGTTCGCCT